CTTTCCTCCATAAGCTATTCTTTTCATTTCCATAGCTCCATATCCACTTGTTCAGGAGCACCTCATTTCTAATTTTTAAATCCACCAACCTTAACTTTTTGTATTCTTTAGGTACACAGTTTAATCCTTAATCAACGAAATGCACCTTTTTTTCCTGAGCAGAACCCCTTAAAGGAATCTTTTTTGGATTTTGTGAAGTTCTTCTTTTACCCCCACTAGCATACGAAAGATGGACATGAAAAAAATCGAGAAACTAGCTAAAATTGATTTCATTAGGGTTACTTTACCACATATTGAAAGCATTGTCCCTTTCCATCCCATAAGTCGATTTTCAAACTTTTCAATTACCAGTCTCCACATTTCGTTATTATTATTTTGTGCTCCTAAGGGGAGCCCTAAGTAACTGGATGAAAACTTTTCCTTTCTGCACCTAATCTTCTTAGCTCGCTCAACTAACACCTTTTTGTCAATTCTCACTCCAAAAAGACTACTTTTCTTGAAATTGATTTTGAGCCTTGAAATGAGTTGGAAACATCTAAGAATTCTCTTAACATTTTGAAGTGACTCCTATTTTAGCTTACACACAATTTCCATATCATTAGCATACTAGAGATGAGACACCACGTGTCCTTTCTGACCTATTTCAATCTCTTTGCAAATCCCAAGCTGCATTACTTTACTCATGATCACACTCAATGCCTTGGCAACACAATTAAAAAGAAACGATGATGAAAATAATAATAATAATAATAATAATAATAATTATAATACATATATTTTTATAATTATAATTTATAATTTATATGTTTTGGTTTTTGATTAATGGATTTCCACTTTAGTTTCTCAATTTCAAGTTAGATCTTTTGGGTTTCATATTAGTAATTAGTTCAACTCTAAGAAGAAGAGAAACAAAAAGGTCATTCATTACCAACCCTCAAATACTAAAATAATTGGGACTCCACTTGCATTTTGTCCTTTTTCTAAGTCATTTTATATTTTTTTGCTTTTTGTTTCTATTCATTTATTTTGTAAAGAAAATAATAACAAAAGTATCAACTTGTAACACCTCATTCTATATAATATCTAAACTAAAAACCCAAAATATGACCTGGGTCCCTTATTTATTATTAATAAATAATTTGAGTTTTAGTTGAAATATTTTGTTGAGTAAATGACTTATTACAAGCAACTCTTTTATATTGGGTTTGAGGATTTACAAAAATAAATTGGAAGACAGAAAAATAAAAAAATTATAGTTGGATTTCTCTTTTCAAAGTGAGTAGAAACTTTCTCATTTTTAAGAAAAGTTAGATTTATGGTTAGGTTGTTGAAGTTTAGGTTAAAAATTTATTAAAATTTATTAAGAATATTTACAAAATTATGCAATTTAGATAAGTTTTATCTATCACTTGGTTGAAGTTAGATAAGGTATATTTTTTTTTGTTCAAATTGCAATCATTCTTTCATGAGTTAAACATGAATTTAGTGTTGGGTTTAAGGTACATAAGAATTGAGGATAAATCTGTTTGTATCATATAATTTTTCAATTAAATTATGTATTAATTTTTATTTTTTAATTGTTTGAATTTTATATGATTGAAAAGCTAGTTAATTCTACTTTCTTATAAATAAAATGAAATTGAATTTTGAGCTTTCTAAGTATAGATATTTTATTTTTGTTGAAGATTGCTCAAAATTGATACCAACTATGGAGACTTGCACCCAATATGTAAAGTATTATCTACTTTAACTTGAAATTGAAAATTTTATGATTTTTTTAATAAAAAATGCCTCGCAAATAAATATAAGTTTAATTTTTTACATATATATCATATTCAAGTCTCAAAAATTCTCAATGTGAAAGTTAAGGACATCAAAATTCATTACAACAAATTTAACTTTAGACAGCATATTTTTAAAATGTGCAACTAAAAATATTTTTAATAACGCTTTCTTTATATTTTTTAGAACATTTTTGTAGATCCAACTTCATTATATAAATTTTTAAATGTATTATGAATAAAATGTAACAATAGAAATTGCATGCACTAGTAAAGGTTGCACTTTTTTATATTACTACTAAATGTAAAAAAAGTGAAGTTAAAAGTTTAAATAGTTACATTTTTTAAAATTTTACTATACAAAAAAATATGTCGCTTAAATAAGTGTGATTAAAACTCAATTTTTTTGTAGGGATTAAAATAAAATGAATAATACCTTGCAACTTCCATCGTCATTTCCACACAACCAAAAGAGCCTAATAGTTTTCAGTTCAAGTCGGAACAAGTCTCATATACACGTATATAAATACACAGTAGAAGAACATAAATTTGTGGTGCGCTACAAGGGCTGCTCAATAATCTCAAAAGCCTAAAGCAAAATATTCAAATAAAGCTTTTTCTATTGAAATTAAGAAAAAAATTTTATTAAAATTTTATTCTTCTAGTTTTTTTAGAAGCAAAAGTTTTTATTAAACTTTTATAATTAGATTCTTCTAATATTTTGTAATAATTTTTTATTCATTATTTTTTATTACTTGTAAAAATTTATCAAATGCTCTTTTTGAGATTGTATTAAACTTTCAATTTTTCTTTTTAAAGCTTTGAATAGCTAGATTCATATTTTTATTTGACATATTCAAATATTTATTATAAAGTACAAAAAATATTTAGTTATTATAATTATCTTGTATTTTTTAAATGACAAATATAAAATCGACATCAAAATTTTTAATTCAAATAAATTAACTATTTCATAAAATAAAGACAATATAACAATACAATATAAATCTAAATTAAAGTAAAAAGTACGTAATGATTAGAACAATAGTACTTAATTTTTAAATATTTATTACAAACAACAAATGAGGCTCATGACTTTATGAAGATTATAGCATAACAAACTTTTTATGTATTTTTTGGAGGAAAATTGAAGTTAAAGGAAGAAATAGCAAATAAGTAAATAAGAATTCAAAACTAGATATTATAAATTGAAAAAATAATTATTTTTAATATATAGGAAAAAGTGACTGTTGAAAATATTAAATACGTATTACGTTAATTGATTGAAACAGGAGAAATAAGTGAGAAAAAATAGTGATTGAAGATCATTAATTAGATATTACCATTAGTTACTTGGAAACAGAAGACATAGTTGAGAATTAATAATAATTCAAGAATTAAGAAGTGATAAAAAATAGATATTTATTAGGAACATAATTTGAAAAATAAGAGAATATGTCATTTGATTAATTATTTTTTACTAAGAAATGAAATAATTAGTGAAAATTAATAGGGATGTGAAAGTAAGGGAAAATAAATATTTATTAAGCATGAAAGAATAAATAAATAATTTATTAATTATTTTAATTTTTATATAATTAACTATATTATATTGTAAAAATGTGAAACTTTTTTAAATTTGAGGCGCAGTAAAGTCCTTGCTTAGGTGACTTTGCCCAAGGACCGGCCTGGTGCGCTGTTGTCACATCCGTACATCATCTTATTGTTTCTTCTACTAATTAACAAAAGAAAGTAAATCAATAATAATTAAATAATTGATAGATTTGCACTGTGTACAGCATCTGCTTTTTCTTTTCTCCTTGCCCTTTTGTCTAACATTGCTTTCCTGGTTCAATACTAGTGAAGGGATAAGATTCTTTCTCTTACTTTTTTTACGAAAAGAAATAGAGATTGGCTTTGGCGTGGCTAGCTGGCAAGGCATCAACCATAAAGTGATTAATTTTCAAGTCATTTCACCTAAAATTCACTATAGAATACTATAAAGTAGACCACTATGGTCTTGCGTCTAATTAAGACATTTCATGAATATATCTTTTGCATATAAGTGATCCCGTTGCCTCCTCACTCATCCTTCGTCTGATTAATCACCACTTTTCTTGTAAGAGCTTGTCCAGGAGAGTTTCTTAAGCATAGGAAAGAAAAATGAGAGTTGATAGAGAGGGAGGATTATTTTCTCTAGCATTATTTGTAATGCTAATGCTCTTCGAGGCAAATGGTGGCAGAGCTGCAGAAATGTTAATGGAGAAGAGCAACACCACTTTCCGTTGCAGTGGCCGCCTTGACGACTGCCGCATTGCTGAAGATATGGAACTGGAGCTGTTGATGGATTCCCACATTAGCCGAATGCTCATCGGTAGCGATGGAAAAGCTGTGATTGGCTTCACCAATGTCGCCGGTAAAATTATACCATGTGGCCCTGGTACACAGTATGGTCCATGCGTTAAGGGCAAGAAAGTTCCGAAAAATTGCAGTACATTTAACCGCGAGTGCCAGTAGAAATAATACCGTAAAGCAACTTAAATCATCCCTGGACACTGCTTGTGTGAGTGACATTCATACTGTTCTTCCCTGTCTTTCTGTCATAAATCAATTTGCTTTTCTTTCATGAGTATGTGTACTACTTATTGTCTTAATTATCCACTTATTTGTTAGTCAGTGTTTTCAAAGTTAATTGATGCTATTTGTCCTTCTATCTGCAATGGTTATCCAAAGGCAGTACAGTGATAATTACCGGAATATTATCCTGTAACCTAAGAAGAGGGAGAGAGCTTTAACCCTGTAAATATATCATCTGGTCCCCAACTATTAAACTTCTTTCTAATCAAAAGGTCGACGATTGTATGGCGTCTAATTAATTAAAGAGTGGGTGATCGTCAAAGGATATTCCAAAGGTTAGAATTTAAAGAGGGAATGTCTCATTTTTTATATCTTGGAAACAGGATATCTCCTATTATATGATAAAGTTCCAGCAAACTTCCATACTTAACTGAGAGGATAAAGCTCTGTGGTAATATAGTTTTTGTTATGGTTAAATCAACACAGTAGCATCAAACATGCAGAGAAGAAAAGTAAAAGACAATAAAAATAGAGGACCTTGGTTAATATTGATCATCACATTAACTAAAGAAAGATACTTGAATATATAGATGAGATGCATGGTTAACACTTGTACAAAATCACCAAGTGTTTAACACAAGATTAAGATAAGCAGGCAATGCTTACACATTTCAAAGGACATGTAGTATCAACAAGAGCTCTAGCTTATCAAACCAGTACAACAAAGCAAAATGGACAGTTGTCCAATACTTAATTAAACAGAAAATAACACTCAAACTAGTTTTTATCTCAACGCTCCTCCTAAACACCAGCTTGATGAACGTTTAATTTGCTTCTCAGTTCTTCAAACCTGGACAAAGATAGTGGTTTGATCAAAATATCTACAAGTGGATCATTGGAGCCGCAATGCTGAATGGATATCTCTTGATTCTTCTCAGCTTCTCTCAAGGCATGGTATTTGACCTTCATATGTTTTGTCCTGCTATGAAAAACAGGATTCTTCACCATAGCAATAGCAGACTTGTTATCTAAATACAATTTAGCTGGAGACACAAAGGAAACTAAGATCAGTTCAGATTTTCTTCTCCCAAATGGCTTGAGTTGCAGCTGTAGCTGTTGCTATATACTCTGCTTCTGCAGAGGATTGAGCAGTAATCCCTTTCTTCTTTGAGTTCAAGCAGAAAATATCATTTCCAAGAGAAAATACAATCTAGAAGTACTTTTACAATCATCCACACATCCTGTCCAGTCACTATCCAAGAAACCAACTAACTCAACTGACTTTGTATTAGAATAAGTGAAATGAGGACCAAGATCAAGGGTACCTTTCAAATATTTAATCACTCTTTTAGTTGCTAAAAAATGTTAATTGTAGGAACTTGCATGAATCTTGACAGATAATTCATAGCAAATATCAAGTCAGGCTTTGGAGCACAAATATAAAGCAATGATCCTATCATGCTTCTAAATGTTGAAGAATTTCCAAGTACAGATCCCTTATCAACTGATCGCTTCTCATGAGTGACAAGTGGATTTCCTACAGTCTTGCAATTTGACATTTTAAACTTGTTCAGAACTTCACAAATGTAATTTGATTGAGATATATGAGTTCCTATATTGCTTGAACAATCTGTAATCCTAGGAAATAGCTCATCTGCCTAAGATTAGTCATTCTGAATTTGTTTTGCATTTCAAACTTGAGTTTTGCAATTCTTTGATCATTTCCTCTTGTAACTAATATGTCATCAATGTATAATGAGATAATCAAAGGATTTTGATCACCAATTTTGTGTACATACAAGGTAGCTTCATTACTGCTCTTCTGAAATCCGTGACTCTTCAAATAGTCATTAAACTTGCAGTACCATGCATGAGGTGTTTGCTTTAAACCATAGAGAGCTTTATAAAATTTATACACTTTGTCTCTGTTAGGCTCAATTTCAAAACCATGAGGTTACTCAATGAAAATTTCTTTTTGCAAATCACCATTTAAGAAAGCAGATTTAATGTCCAAATGGAATATTTGCCATTGAAACTTAGCTGACATGCTATCAGCAATCGAATGGTATCCATTCTGGCACAGCACTTTTAAGTTATTAAGAAAGTCTCCCATTAGTCTAATCTGGTTTACTAGTTTCATCAGATCTTCAACAAATTCACCTACTTTCTAGTTCTCTTTCGTTTTCAGAAGCTCATATTTCCTTATGAGATTTTGCAAACGCACTTGTTTGCTTCTTGTGAACCCTAAAACTCCTTCTTAAGCTTACTTCAAGCCTAGTTTGTAGTTTAACACCCTATTATTTTATTGAAAATTGATTCAGATAGAGTTGAATGTATGAAAGACAAAGCTCTATATCTCTTTGCAATGTCTTTTTCATGTTGCTTCGCTAGTGCCTGTGTAACATTCTACTTTAGCACTAGAAATTCAACTTTAAACTCAATAGTATTCCAAAGATTAACACCTCTACGAAATGTTTTTATTTTTACAGCCCAAACAGCATAGTTTGAACCATTGAATGAAGGTAGTGACTGTTGTGTAACGGTTGAGGTTGAAGTTTACATTGTTTGAAAAAAAGTTGGGTTATGGTAGATGACAGATGAGATTTTAGGATTGTTTGTAAGTATTTTAAGTGACTCAAGGATCGGTTATGAGCTCTAATACCATGTTATGGTTAAATCAACACAGTAGTATTAAACATATAGAGAAGAAAAGTAAAAAGACAATAAAAACAGAGGAACTTGGTTAATATTGATCATCACATTAACTGAAGAAAGATACTTGAATATATACATGAGATGCATGGTTAACAATTGTGCAAAATCACCAAATGTTTAACATATGATTAAGATAAGCATGCAATGCTTACACGTTCAAAACAAGGACTCTAGCTTATCAAACCAGTACAACAAAGCAAAATAGACACTTGTCCAATACTTAGTTAAACAGAAAATAAGACTCAAGCTAGTTTTTATCTCAGCAGTTTTTCCATTTTCTTGACAATACCAATTAAGGCTAAGGACATAGCAAAATTTTCGAGTTTTTTCTCCCTTTCTTCGTTTTCTTGTTTGTAATCAATCTTCTCATGAGAATATTGTGTGCTTTACTACTGTTATTGTTGGTTCAGGATGTACTTTTCCCGTTGCACTAAACAATCAAAATTTCCTTCCTGTTCACCATTCCTGCTACTATTTAATAATGGTAATGCTTTACTATTGTTTAATTGACATTCCAAATCATAGATATACTGTTGCCCTTATCTTCTTGGGCAATGAACCCCATTTTGGTGGAAAGTACTAATAATTTGATTTTGATATCTTTAAGCAAGGACCACGAGCAGGAGAAAACAATTGTTGAAGGTTGCCGAGAAATTTTGAGGGATGCCCATTTTCATGTTTTTTTTTTTGATTTAGACCATCATGTTTGACATTTTATGCTTTACTTTCCGACTCGAAGTTTGTATTAAAATATATAAAATAATGTGTTCTGGTTTGTGTTTGAATATTTACCTTAATTAGAGAGTTAACCAAAGCCATCAAACCCCTTGTCAAAACATAAAAGATAAAATATCCTCACTTTTTAATTTTTAATCATAATTTTATACAAATTTATTAATTTTTAAAATAAATAATTTATTTTAAAAGAATATGCTTCGTTCTATATACAAGTTCAGTTCGTTAGTCAATTGTTAATGTTTCCGTTAATTTAATAACATGATAATATTGAAATGATAATTTTATATTTTATTAATTTCAAAAATTATCATATTGTATAAATTATAATTTTTTATTTTTAATTTATTTTCTTATTGAAAAAAATCTATCCCTTACCTCTTCCGGCAATTGGAGTGTCGGAGTTAGCTTTAGTCGGGGAGGCACGACTCCCATAAGGAGCCGGAGGGTGGGCGGGTGTGGCTAGCGTAAGAGCGCAGGGGTGAGGGGGGGGCGTAGCTCCCTTGGGGAGCATGGGGTGGTCGGCTGGCTTGAAAAAAAAAAGAAAATAGTGAAAAGAATATAGAAAGAATAAGAATATTTTTAACATTTCACATCTATTTATTAACATCATTTAATTTACATATTTAGCGTGTATTATTTATTTTCAAAATTAATAAACTTCAAATGAATTCTAACTAAAAGTTAAAAAAGTAAAAGTAGTTTTACCCAAGCATAACTGAAAAACCTAACTCAAAATTGTTAATTTAGACTTTGCTTACGGTGATTTAAAACAAAGGGAGAATAAATGCCAGTAAAGTCAGTCTACCCTGAGGATTTCTTTTTAATATTAATAGCAGATACTAAGAGATCTGATAGAAAGATTCTCACCAACCCATAATAATAATACAAATTATCAGTTCTATTTGAAGCATAATTTCTACACGCTACACTGTAATTGTCAAAAAAAGATATAGAAACGAGAGGCTGGCCATATATAATTAAAAAATGATCTCATGAATTTGATGTTTAAAGTACTTATCTTAATTACCTGATAAGAAGATTCTGGACTTCAGTGTCCAAACTTTTGTGCTTTCTCATTGTATGTCAAGGCCAATATTGACTTAAATCTGGAACCAATATGACCTTCGACGAGAACCAGTGAAAAAAAAAATATACCTATTGTTTATATACATGCAGCAGGCGGCTCAACTATGTTCCTCTGATGCACAATTTTATCTGAATTTTTTTAGAAATTGCTAGGCTGGAAAATAAATCAGCTTGATTGTTTGCTTAAACTAGTAGCAAATATGCTTATTCTAATAAGAGATAAAGAACCCTATCACACAGTTTTCTTCTTTGGTTAACTCTACTCTCCCTTATAAGGGAAAGCACAGCTTTTCAGAGTGGTTGGGTTGCATCGTGCTGCTCTTACGTAAAATGAACTGAATTACAGGAATGATAAAAGCATAAAGCAACAAGGCATGAGTCTTAATAAGAAATGGAGTAAAGAGGGGTGAAATCTTTAGAAAAAGAGGTGGGGCAGGGCTGCTCGCCCGCATCATCATGTTAATTGATCAATGAGAACATCTTTTGCAGATTCACACTACTTTATTTACCTAAAGTATCAATCTTCTTTTTCCACACGATAGGTTGGGTGTGAACCACGTCCAGGCCTTGCCAGAT